CATGACTTGAATCAAATAAGTAGATAAATAAAGAGCAAAACGTAAGGGTTGGTAATCTTTGATATCTTGGTCAAGATGTTGTTCAAGATCTTATCTAACATGTCCTAAATTATACACAAGATTTTATTGAGAATTTATACTCATAAGAGTTGCCACCAAGTATAAGACACAAAAATGAAAACTTTTAGATTAAATATCCTTCAAGATCGGTATAATATACTTCACTTGGCTCACTTCTGATCAACACAATTTGAATTTTATTCATTGAATAAGATTAAGAACATGTTTCATAGTATTTAAGAAAAAAAAAACTCATATTAAATAAAAAAATTTGGTTGTTAGTACGAGATTTAAGTTTTTATTTTAAACCAAAAAATTTATGATAATAAATTTACTTTAAATAGCATTTATGAATTTTTAGCTTTTATAAAATTCTACATATTTCAAAACTTTATAATTAGAAAAATTAAATATCTTTCTATATTTTATTCTTATTTATCTATAATTAAACACTTTACTTTTCATCTGCTAACTATTTTTTTAAGTCATAGCCCAAATAAAACTATTCCAATCAAACAAAGAGGGAAACAACCGTATCCATTGGTGTCAACGTTGATTCACGACATACTTTCTTTCTCATTTTCCCATTTTTATCTCAGCATTTTCAGAAAATAAACGTGTTCTTATCTACCACTTCAGCTACATTCAATTATTTGATTTTCGCCAACTTTTTCAGCTGTATTTCATTCTCCGGAAACAAGAGTCCAAACACTAAAGTAGTTTATATTTATATAATTAAAAAACGTATATCTTCTATTTGTCAACCTAATATATTTACAATATTAAAAATGATTTCTAATTACATAACTGCTTTCAAAAGTTTTTAATATTTTTAGATAGACATAAGTGAAACAACTTAATTGTCAACGAAAATATGTTTCAACTTTATATTATAGTGTTATTCCTAATAACCAAATAAATAAATCTTACTAATTAAAAGAGAATAGGTTCTTTGTCCGGATGGTATATCCTCTATTTTATTTTCCCTTTATTTTTTAAAACCTAGGAAATGGTCATACATACAGGGGCAAAACTTCATGATTTCAACATGGGTGGCGAATGGTTCAGTTTTATGTCTTGAGTTGGAGCCAAATTGAGTAAGCTCGATAGGTTCCTTGCGTGTTTTATTTTCTTGCAGCTTTCCCCTCATTGGTTGTAACTGCACACCCCTAGGAATTATCTGATAAGAGTCTGATCATACTCTCCTCCCGAGCAACTGATTATGGCCCACCTCCATTCAAACTATTTAATTCTTGGCTATATGGTTTTGACGGCAATGTTATGGAATGGAAAAGATTTGTTGGATATGGTAATCTCGATGCTTATCTAGCTGCAAAACTCAAATACCTTAAAGAAGAGATCAAAAGACGGAAGAGGAAGAGCAATAATGTGGAAAAACTTGAGCTAGCACATATTAAGGCTAATGTCTTACAACTTGAGACATTGGCAAAATCAAGGTCGCTCACTGATATAACTTAATACACGCAGTGAGGACCTTCAACGAATTCTTGAGCTAGAAAAGCTTATAATGCTAGACTTAAAACAAAAATCAAGGATCCAATGGACTATGGAGGACGATGAAAATACGAAGTTCTTTCATGGTTATATAAACGATAAGCATAGGAGGAACATAATCTATGGGTTAATGGTTAATGGTAAATGGGTGTTGTCTTTAGAAGAAGTAAAAGGCGAAGCATTAAGATTTTTTAAGGGTAAATTCATTGAGACTTTGATCTCGAGACCTAAATTCATCAGCCCTTTCCTCAAATCCATTTCTATGACGGAAGCCATCAAACTTGAAGCCCCCTTGACAGTGGAAGAAATAAACACTGGGTTTTGGGTATGTGGTAGCGACAAGGCCCCTGGCCCAAATGCCTTTACTATTAAATTCATCAAAGCCTATCGGGACACTTTGAAAGACGATGTGATGAATTATGTTCTACACTTCGACAAATTTGGTACCCTAGCGCAGGGGTGTAACTCGTCCTTCATCACACTTGTGTCTAAGGTAAAAGACCCTTCTTTACTTTCTGACTATCGTCCTATGAGCTTAATTAGGTGTATGTACAAGATCATCTAAAATGTACTTGCATTAAGGCTCAAAACAGTTATTAGTGGATTCATTGGAAATATACAATCAGCATGTATAGAAGGCAAGCATATATTAGACGGACCGTTAGTGATAAATGAACTCTACTCGCGGGCGAAGAAAATGAAGAAGAGGATATTGTTATTTAAAGTGGATTTCAATAAAGCATTTCATTTCATAAATTGGGAATACCTTGATTCTATTCTCGCACAGATGTGCTTTGTTTCTAAATGGCACCTTTGGATTAACGGATGCTTGAAATCATCTCACATCTCTGTGATAATTAACGGTCTTCGACAAATGAATTCAAAATATCTAAAGGTGTACGCCAAGGTGACCTGCTCTCACCACTCCTTTTCATTATAGCCATGGGAGGTCTTAACGTGGCGCTAAAGGCTGTTAGAGATAAATGACTATTCAAAGTTGTTAAAATCCCAAATGGGGTCCTATCCTCTCACACTTGCTCTTTGTAAACAATGCATATTTGGTGGTGAATGGTCGAATTCCAATCTAAAATATCTTGCACGAATTTTAAGATGTTTTCACATATCTTCTGGTTTAAAAGTGAAATTTCATAAATCAATAGTGTTTAGAATTGGGGCTTCTGCTGGTGAAATTGCAAACTAGTCCGGTATTCTCGGCTGTGAAGCGGGATCTTTCCCTTTTAAATACCTTGGTGTTCTTATCGGCGCAAACATGAACCTCATAAATATTGGAAACTAATAATTGATAGATTTCATTCCAAATTGTCATTGTGGAAATCGAAATCCATTTTTCTGGAGGTCGATTGACATTGATCACCTCATTCCTAGGTGTAATAACTCATGTCAAATAAAAATATATAATGTATATAATCAAATTATATATAAAAATGATTACTTCAAAATTTATTTGGTTATTTAGATGCAAATTATGAGATATTATGTCTAGAAACCGCCATCATTGATTAGACCATAAATTCGACCATAAATTCGAGCAACTCAATGGATAGTAACTGATAAAACCCTAGGCAATATATAGAGCTCAAAATTTCTGGTGGAAACCCCACTGGAATTGCAAGAAACGACTGAGATTTGAAGGAGAAATCGGGTGTGGAAGTTGTTGAAGATTTTCGGAGTTCGTTTTGAAATTAAGGTATGAACACTCAATTTAAGCTCGATTAAGTTAATTAGATAGATTAATGTGCCACTAAACATGTTTTGGTTCAATCTCTTCTCTCAGTTTCATCCAACCAGTATCAAATCAACAGAAACATTTTTTTAGTTGTTTTAATCCACACTGTTTGGGTGCATAACTTTCATAACTTTTTGTGGAAGGTTGTTAGGCAGAAGTGAAGATAAATGATCGTGATTTTTATTAAATTAATTGTTATTGTTTTGAATAAAATCGAAACTTCAATATAATAGCAGAAAATGTGAATTTTTCGGGTGAAGAAGGAGATGGTATCGGGTCTTATATAAAAGTTATTTTTATTAGTGGGTCAAAAGTCAAAAACTGCATTAGATGCCACCGTTTGCTCTTTTGGTCGCTTATGAATTAAAAAATAAAATAAAAAAATAAAAAAAAAAAAGACTTCTATTAATTCAGTTATTCAAAAATAACAGTTTTTACCCCTAAACTTTGAGTTCTATTTATTTTAGGCTAAACTAAAGGAAATAAAAATTATAGATCCAGTCTCTGAGTTTTAAAACTTGTTGATTAATTAGAATTGTATAAATCAATATACTTGGAGTTTAGCCCATGTTATTTTCAATTTTTTTAGTTAAAAATATTTTTAGATAATAACGAAAGGTGTCTTCAAATATTTTAGCATTGGGTTTTTATTATTTTAGAATATTATTTCTAAAAGGAAATAACAATTATTCAAAAGGTTGTTAAAAAAAAAACATAATTATCGTTTATAACTAATATTTGGTTGGATGAGACATAAGGGCGGTTGAACCAAAATGATCGTATAGAGTGTTTTTTGGAAGTGAGCCTTAGAAAAAAAAATATGTTGGTTAAATTTAAGGTGCATGTAGCGTGACAAACTTTGGTTAAGATCAATCGCCAACAAGTTGAGTTTCGTGTGTATTTTGTGGTTGTTTGCATGAAATGTTGATGCTAATTTATTTGCAATTACATGTTACCGTTGTTATTGTTATGAATATTTGTGTGAATTTTATGAACTATTTCATGTAAAAGGGTGAAAACGGTGGGTGCCATATATTTAGGGAACAGGTGTATTAACTACACGGTCTTATTAGTAGTCGTCGTACATGGTGTCAGTACGCGGCGAAGATCTTACACTCTGATTAATTAGCCGTAGGCATATTTGTTGTTCCCGACGGAGGGACTTGTTCCCTAAAAATGACAGTAATTCCCTAATGTGTCACCAAGGGTGGTAAGAAATGAACTGAATTATATTTGATAAATTGTTGTATTTGTTTTTGTTTTATTGACGTCAATATGCATGAAAACCACGAACTAACTAGGCCCTAGGCTTACTCATTAGAATCTTTAAATGGACGCAACCTAGGAAATAATATAGCGAGTGGTAGCGGGAATGGGAAGGATAAAGCTTAGACTTGAAGATGGTGACAAGCGTTGAGGAGGACGTAACGTACCAATTGTTTATTTAAATTTCTATTCGCTTCCACAATTATTATTAATAATGATACTATTATTTCAATTTTCAAAATTTAGAGGTTTTGAGATCATGTTAAGTTAATATTGGTATTTGAAAATTTGGGGCGTTACAAGTTGGTATCAGAGCCAACGTTTAGCAGATTAGTCGTTGATTAAACGCCTAAGCTTAAACGAGAGGAGCGGTACATCACCTAATTTGTATCGTGTCTCGTTTGTAGGTACTATGGATCATGGAAAGGCAATCGTAGACAGTGGGGTGCCAGGAGAGGATACGAGTGGGTTGCTTCCCCAAGAGAAATTGAAGGCCGAGTTAGAGCTCTCTTATTCGAAAGGCATTCTGGTACCAACGACTCCACTCAGCCTCTCTAAACAGGATGAGGAAGACGAGGATGTGGAATCTGAGGTGGAACCTGATGAAGACCCGAACGACGAACCTGAAGAAGACCCGAACGAGGAACCTGAAGAAGACCTCAAGGAGGAACCCGAGGGAAATCACATGGAGTACCATGTGGAACAAAGATACGAAACGTTCCATATGCCCTAGTTGGAGTACACGCCAACTAGCCCTGGTACCTATTGGGAGCGACTTTATAAAGATGAAATGCGACAGGCATAACTCGAGATTCACAGTTTGAAAAGAAAGATTGAAGAGATAGATGAGCATAGGTCAAGGCTCGTATAGGAGAACCAAATACATGCTGAGGCTCCTGAGAAAAGTAAGTGCAAGATACGCAGGTTAGAACAGGAGGTGTTGGAGCTAAGGAAACCCACTATCACTAAGTTGTGGGAAGGGTTTGTGGCTCAGGCAAATCAAGCCAAGGCCGTGACTTACATATTCCTAAATAGGGTGGTTGGAAGAGACCCACCCCAGGCCAAGGTGGTGGTCATTCAAAGTGGTTCCGGAGATCGCAAAGCCAAGAAAATAAGGAAGTACTTGAAGGGGCGAAAGCGAATCTTGAAATATGATGACATTGTGTTTAAAAAGTAAAAAGTGGGAGTTTGATGAGTTGTTTTTTTTTCTTTTTTTTCTCTCTTGGTTGTTGGCTTAAGTGACTTGATGTGAACAAGACATATGTCTCTTTTTGATGTTTTGATAATTTGGAATAAAATTTATGTATGTTATACTTATTGTGTTATAAACATAAATATGTAGTTAAGATGTCTTCACAAAGATCTGGGAGGTTCACTAGGGTCACCCCGGAGGAAGAACGCATCCCAATTGAAGCTTGTGTTAGGGCGCCAGGAGATGTACCAGAAATCCTACTGATCCTAGATGCTAGTCGTGGGCGGGGATAAGGACTAGGTAGGGGTAGAGGAAAAGGCCAAGGAGCTGTTACAGCACCGATACTTGTACAATCGTCCCATGGCAGCTCTGGATCTCACCACGGTCGAGGTCGAGGTCGCGGAAGGGATCGTGCGGAAAACACGATTACCAGAGAAGAATTGGCTGATGAGATTGCTCGGGTGATTCAAGCCACCTTGCCCGATGTAGTTGCTCAGGCACAAGAAGCTATAATGGGTGACTATGAAGGTAACTTGAGTGGAAATGAAGAAGACTATGAGTACTGTACACCAATTATGAATCAGGAGCCAAGTATTGCACAACCCTCAAGGCATCATGACACCCATAATCGTCGAGGTTGTAGTTACAAGACGTTCATGAATTGTAAGCCAACTGTTTTTAATGGAGAAATTGATCCCATTTTGTCATCAATGTGGATCATGGAGATTAAGGGAACATTTGATACTAGCAAGTGTGCGGATGAGTACAAGGTGATTTATGATGCAATAATGTTAAAGGGGGAGGCAATACATTGGTGGGGCATGAGGCGGATAAGAACATGTCATGGGATGCGTTTCTAATAATCTTTAAAGAAACGTTTTGCCCACAAAAAGCGGTTAAGCAGTTAGAGGAAGAATTCTTAAGGTTGGAACAGGGGAATATGACTGTGAGGGAGTACACCACAAAGTTCACGGAGAAGGCTAGGTTTGCCGAATTTTACGTATCTACAGAAGAAAGAAGGGTGGAACGCTATATTTAGGGATTGAGAACAACTATCCGTGAATTTGTGCAAATTCAGCCAATTCTTCTCTAGTGATCGTGTTTGTCGCACGACGCCTTCCACAACCTCGACCTGGACCGCAGTGAGATCCGGGGCTACCATGGGCCGACTGTACATGTATCGGTGTTATAACAGCTCATTGGTCTCTTCCTCTACCCCTACCTCTTCTTTGTCCCCGCCCACGACTAGCATTTGGGATCAGTGGGGTTTCTGGTGCATCTCCTGGTGCCTTTTCATAAGCTCCAATTGGGATGCGTTCTTCCTCCGGGGTGACCCTAATGAACCTCCCAGATCTTCGTGAATACATATTAACTACAAGTTTATGTTTATAACACAATAAGTATAACAAACATAAATTTTTTTCCTAATTATCAAAACATCAAAAAGAGACATATGTCTTGTTCACATCAAGTCACTTAAGCCAACAACCAAGAGAGAAAAAAAGAAAAAAAAAACAACTCATCAAACTCCCACTTTTTACTTTTTAAACACAATGTCATCATATTTCAAGATTCGCTTTCGCCCCTTCAAGTACTTCCTTATTTTCTTGGCTTTGCGATCTCCGGAACCACTTTGAATGACCACCACCTCGGCCTGGGGTGGGTCTCTTCCAACCACCCTATTTAGGAATATGTAAGTCGCGGTCTTGGCTTGATTTGCCTGAGCCACAAACCCTTCCAACAACTTAGTGATAGTGGGTTTCCTTAGATCCAACACCTCCTGTTCTAACCTTCGTATCTTGGGCTTACTTTTCTCAGCAGCCTTAACACGTATTTGGTTTCCTGTACGAGCCTTAACCCATGCTCATATGTCTCTTCAATCTTTCTTTTCAAATTGTGAATCTCGAGCTATTTCTTTGGAATTTCATCTTTATAAAGTCGCTCCCAATAGGTACCAGAGCTAGTTGGTGTGTACTCCACATAGGGCATATGGAACATTTCGTATCTTTGTTCCACATGGTACTCCATGTGATTTCCCTCGGGTTCCTCCTCGAGGTCTTCTTCAGCTTCCTCATACGGGTCTTCTTCAGGTTCCTCGTTCAGGTCTTCTTCAGTTTCCACCTTAGATTCCACATCCTTGTCTTCTTCATCCCGTTCAGAGAGGCTGAGTGGAATCGTTGGTTCCAGACTGCCTTCTGAATCAGAGAGCTCAAACTCGACCTTCAACTTCTCGTGGGGAAGCAACCCAATCATACCCTCGCTTGACACCCCACTATCTACGATTGTCTTTCAATGATCCATAGTACCTACAAACGAGATGCGGTCCAAATTAGGTAATGTACCGCTCCTCCCGTTTTAGCTTAGGTGTTTAATCAACGACTAATCTGCTTAAACCCTAGCTCTGATACCAACTTGTAACGCCCCAATTTTTCAAATACCAATATTAACTTAACATGGTCTCAAAACTTCTAAAATTCGAAAATTCAAATACTAGTATCATTATTAACAATAATTGCGGAAGCGAATAGAAATTTAAATAAACAATTGGTACGTTACGCCCTCCTCAAGGCTTGTCACCATCTTCAAGTCTGAGGTTTATCCTTTCCATTCCCGCTGCCACTCGCTACAATATTTTCGGGGTTGTGTCCATTTAAAGATTCTAATGGGTAAACCTAGGGCCTAGTTAGTTCGTGGTTTTCATGCATATTAACGTCAATAAAAAAATGCAACAATTTATCAAATATAATTCGTTTCATTTCTTACCACCCTTGGTAACACATTAGGGAACTACTGTCACTTTTAGGGAACAAGTCCCTCCACCGGTAACAACAAATATGCCTACGGCTAATTAATCAGAGCGTAAGCTCTTCGCCGCGTACTGACACCCTGTACGATGACTACTAATAAGACCGTGTAGTTAATATACATGTTCCCTAAATATATGTCACCCACCGTTTTCACCCTTTTACATGAAATAGTTCATAAAATTCACACAAATATTCATAACAATAACAATGGTGACATGTAATTGCAAATAAATTAGTATCAACATTTCATACAAGCAACCACAAAATACACACGAAACTCACCTTGTTGGCGATAGGTCTTAACCAAAGTTTGTCACGCTACACACACCTTAAATTTAACCAACATATTTTTTTTTCTAAGCCTCAGTTCCAAAAAACATTCTATACGATCATATTGGTTCAACCGCCCTTATATCTCATCCAACAAAATATTAGTTATAAACAATAATTACGTTTTTTTTAACAACCTTTTGAATAATTGTTATTTCCTTTTAGAAATAGCATTCTAAAATAATAAAAACCCAATGCTAAAATATTTGAAGAAACCTTACGTTATTATCTAAAAATATTTTTAACTAAAAAAATTGAAAATAACAGGGGCAAAACTCGAAGTATATTGATTTATACAATTCTAATTAATCAACAAGTTTTTAAACTCAGAGACTAGATCTATTAGTTTTTATTTCCTTTAGTTTAACCTAAAATAAATAGAACTCAAAGTTTAGGGGTAAAAACTGTTAGTTTTGAATAAGTAAATTAATAGACGTCTTTTTTTAATTCGTAAGCGACCAAAAGAGCATACGGTATGGTGGCATCGAATGAAATGTTTGACTTTGGACCCACTGATAAGAATAACTTATATATCAGACCGATACCATCTCCTTCTTCACCCGAAAAATTCATATTTTTTGCTATTATATTGAAGTTTCGATTTTATTCAAAACAATATCAATTAATTTTATAAAAATCACTATCATTTACCTTCACTTTTGCCTAACAACCTTCCACAAAAAGTTATGAAAGTTATGCACCCAAAAAGTGTGAATTAAAACAACTAAAAAAACGTTTCTTATAAATTTTGTTGTGGTTGGATGAAATTGAGACAAGAAATTGAACCAAAACATGTTTAGCGACACATTAATCTATCTAAGTAACTTAATCGAGCTTAAATCGAGTGTTCATACCATAATTTCTAGAAGAACTCCGAAAATCTTCAACTTCCACACCCGATTTCTCCTTCAAATCTCAGTCGTTACTTGCAATTCCAATGGGGTTTCCACCAGAAATTTCGAGCTCTATATATTGCCTAAGGTTTCATCAGTTACTATCCCCTCAGTTGCTCGAATTTATGGTCTAAGCAAGCATGGCGGTTTCTAGACATAATATCTCATAATTTGCATCTAATTAACCCAATAAATTTTGAAGTAATCATTTTTAATATATAATCTGATTATATACATTATATATTTTTATTTGACATGAGTTATTACACTAGGCAACTGTACTACTTACTACTTTTCACTATTCAGAGCACATGTGGCAGTTTTGGGCACTCTGGAACAAGTCAGACATAGATTTTAATTGGGCGGTGATGAAAACAAAATGAAAACCTATTAGGTCACAAGGGACAATGTAATAGCTCCGAAATCTGCTAGCGGTCTTGGTGTGTGTGATCCATATTTTCATGGCCAGAAAAGATCGATTTGTTTATGCTTTACTTTTAAAATCAGAGTATACTTTTAAAAAAAAGTGTAACGGAATTTGTTGCCAGAAAAACATGATAATGATATTATCAAAGCATTTCTGAAGAAATGCATTTTGTTTGTATGAAAACTTTGGGATACTATCGTCAATACAGAAACATAAGCATAAACAGACGCTACATATATTTACACAAATGATTTTCAACCCACAATAATAAAGTTATTATGTTTCATCATTACACAATTAGCCCAATTACCCATCTCCATTATCTTTATTTTTTGTTAAGGATTTATCCTAAGAATCATCTATCATTCACTTTTTCATTCCTAAGGATTCTCATAAAGAATAGGCACGAAGTCGATCGTTGTCTATGGCACAACTGCCAATGTTTTCTATTAGGCACAGCTGCCGATATTATCATTTAGGCACAACTGCCATTATTATGACGTTCTTGATGAGGCGCAGCTGTCGATATTATCATTTAGGCACAACTACTAGAATTATGATGTTATCTATTAGGTGTAGCTGTCGATATTATCCTTTTTGCGCAGCTGCTAGGATGTTTAGAGTACATCGTAGTACAAAAACATCTATTGGTCATGGCGCAGCTATCAATATTCATCTATATCATCTTTCATCCCTCATCATTTATCTACCCATATTCTACCCAACATATTTGTAGATATAAAATACATATACAGTTTGGATCTGAAAAATTTTAAATCTTTCATCCAGCATAGATCTCAAGATATAAAATACATATACAATTTAGATCTAAAAAATGAAGTTTAAATCATTCATCCAACACAAATCTCATGATATAAAATACATATTCAGTTTAGATCTTGAAAAAAAAAGTTTAAATCTTTCATCCAGCACAGATCTCTAGATATAAAATGCATATACAGTTTAGATCTTAAAAAGGAAGTTTAAAGCTTTCATCCAATACAGATCTCAAGATATAAAATACATATACGGTCTAGATCTGAAAAAAAAAAATTAATCTTTCATCCAGCATAGATCTCAAGATATAAAATACATATACAATTTACATCTAAAAAGGAAGTTCAAATCCTTCATCCAACACATATTTGAAGATATAAAATACATATACAGTTTAGATCTAAAAAAAAAAGTTTAAATCTTTTATCCAACATAGATCTCAAGATATAAAATACATATACAGTTTAGATCTGAAAAAAGAAAGTTTAAATCTTTCATCCAACACAACTCAAAAGATATAAAATAAATATACAGTTTAGATCTAGAAAAGAAAAAGTTTAAATCTTTCATCCAACACAACTCTCAAGATATAAAATACATATACATTTTAGATCTAAAAAATGAAGTTTAAATCTTTCATCCAACACAAATCTCAAGATATAAAATACATATACAGTTTAGATCTGGAAAAAAAAACTTTAAATCTTTCTTCCAACACAGATCTCAAGATATAAAATACATATATAGTTTAGATCTAAAAAATGAAGTTTAAATCTTTCATCAAAACACATCTCAAGATATAAAATACATATAGAGTTTAGATCTAAAAAAAGGAAGTTTAAATATTTCATCCAACACATATCTCAAGATATAAAATACATATACAGTTTAGATCTGAAAAAAAAAAAAGTTTAAATCTTCCATCCAACACAGATCTCAATATCTAAAATACACATACAGTTTAGATCTGAAAAAAGAAGTTTAAATCTTTCATCTAGCACAGATCTCAAGATATAAAATACCTATACAGCTTACATCTGAAAAAAAAAAAGTTTAAATCTTTCATCCAGCATAGATCTCAAGATATAAAGATAATAAGCACACATATCATGTAATTTATATAAAATACTTCATATCTATGTGTAAGATGAAAGTAACTATGCACTCACATGATGAGGTGGTGATTCCAACTTGGACAGCGCTTCGCTTTGACGAAATTGGGTGGTTTGCTTGAAAGTCAGACTCTGCAGGGGCAGAGTTTCCGAACCGAAAAACTCTTTTTCTTGCGGTCTTCTGGCTCTCCGGGACTTTCTTCTATTGCTAGGGAAGTTTCCTAGGCTTTGGGGGGTATTTGGGAGGGTTTAGAGAGTGAGTAGAGAGAAGAAGAATGGGTTTAAGGTGTGAAAATTAAAAGAACTCTCAACTGGTATTTATAGGTTGAAAAAGTGATGAACTCATCGAGTTTATGACCCAACTCGTCACGTTTCTGGCCACAAACCCGTCAAGTTTCTGGTCTAAATCGTCGAGTTGGTGCCACTTGTTGTTATCTGGTAGGGAGAAAGCAATGACTCATATTGCGCCACGTCACCCACTTCGCTGCAACACCCTTCCAACTTCTAAACCCCGTAACTTTCGCATAAGAGCTCCTTTTTCGAAATTCTTTATATCCACGTGTAGGTATTGACAAAATCTAGAACTATCCTTTTTGATAAGTTTAAAATCAACTTGAAGATCGATTAGATCTATGAAACAGGTAGAGAAATAATCAGATAAACAATAAGAACAAGCAAATGGATCAAAAGGTGTCGAATGATTAATAAACAATCCTCAGAAGAGATCGATAAAGAACATCAACTGTAGAGGATTTTAGGGTTTACAGTAATCAATGAGAATGATGACCACACCTCTATACGCATACATGCATGCATATATTTATATTAAAACCCTAACAGTTTATCTAAGAAAAAGGAGGCTAATCTAGATAAACATGGATTGACAAGCCCAATCCGGTTGTAAAAC